GCGGGGGGGGAGGGCGGCCAGAGCGCCGGGGGGAGGGCGGCGAGCCCGGCCGTGGCCCCGCTCTCCCCGGGGGTCGGAGCGCCGCGCCGCCCCCCTCCAGGTGCCGCCCCAAGCACAAGCTTGGTGGGCTGGTGCCTGGAGCCGGCCCTGTTTGAGAGCACAGTAAAATCATCCCTCAATATTCCCCTATTGACTTCTTTCCTGGAGAACTCAGACTATGAAACTCCATCATGGTGGAGTTCTATCATCTGTTAAACCCCACAGGAAAACCTTATTTGAAATTGCATCCTCGTTCAACAAAGCAGATCTATTCTGAATTGATGGCCAATCAGTTATTCATTCCTGTTGACCATCACTACTGACCAGACAAACACATCTACTAGCTCTAAGGACTCACCCTACCAGTTTTGTAAATAGCTGAAAACAGGATCAGAGAGTTGTAAAGGTTAATATCATATTCCAAATCTCAGGCTAAGGGTGGCTATGCAGCTGCCAAGTGTTTGGTTGCTTTTCAGTGAGCTGATCCTAATAGTTTTTATCGACAACACTATCTTTTACTTAGAGAACTACAGCCAGAATTAATTCTGTGCCTGTTATACAGGCGGTCATACTAGATGATCATAATGGTCCATTCTGGTCTCAATCTATGAATAATGCTGAGGTTTTCCTTGAGCAGGAAACCCACTTAGCAGCTGCTGATCTGCTCTCACTTTATCTTCTTTAAAACAATGCAAAATCCCAGGGTTATGAAAATGATGGGGAACTATATGAGTCTTGCAAAGTAAAATATGCAAACCCAGAACTGAATGGCATTGATACTTCGAGCATGTGATTCACTGTTCTGCTTACAGAGAGTGGAACAGATGTTGAGCCTTTTGTTTTGCAGACATCTGTGAAGATTTTTGATGTCCCTGTTGAAAATCACATCCTGCTGTTCACCCCTAAGAACTCAGAGACATTCAACAAGACTTATGAAGATTACAGGTCTGCTGCTGTGGAATTTAGAGGAAAGGTTTGTGATGTAGTTTACTTTAGAGTCCTGCTTTGCAAATGTCAGGTGTCGAAGATCAGTTGAAAAACACCCTCCAATGTTACTGATAGGAATATATTGCTGTCAGTTTGTCTACTATCAAACCACTTCCAATAGTTCTCAGAACCATTTTTCTAGCATGGGTCCTTAAGCAAAATGGTCTGGGGAAATCAAATTAGAAGTAAACCCAAAGGGAGAGTGATGCTTTAAAAATATGATTCTAACTGTGTCATGCACAACAAACCTATTTCTGATCTTACATATGCCCCTTACTAAGAGGAACTTCCAGCCATGAAACGTTTAGTAGTGCTTTTGTAGGCTCAGCATCTAGTCTATGATGCAGTCTGGAAATGCCATTCTGGGAATTTCAATGACTTGCTGTTTGCCACAGTTGAAACCAGCAGTTCTACCTTAACTGGTTTTGCAAAGAATCTGTATGACACTGTTTCATGCAGCAAAGTGTGTGTGTGTGGGGGGGGGGGTTGCAGCAAAGGAGAGGGAGAGTAAGTAAAAAACAGCACTTTCTAGCAGTCTCCACTGTCAGTTATTCAATTTTGTTGCTATTGCTCCAAACACACTAAGTGCTACAGAATGAGAATTCATCTGGTAGTAAAACCACCACCAATCATTTTACTTTACTATTGGTAAAGACACCTGGATTATAAATATTTCAGATTTTTGTACTATTAAGTTTTGTCATGTAATGCAGGGCTATGAGAAGCAATAAGAACTTACCAGGGCATAAGCATAGCTTTGGTTGTGTGGGAGAGAGCAATATAATTTACCAGGCTGCGAAATAAATCTAAATATTAGTGTGCTGCAGCTGTGTAGTACAGCAGTATCAAGTAGATTCAGTAAAAGCCCAAACTTACTTGGTTTAGAATGTTGTTACTATCTCAGAGCTGGGGCACAGAAAAGTTTATAAAACTGCTGGGTGAATCATGCTCAGTATATGGTTTTTCAGAGTTCCAGCGGCAGATAAGCCTGGATCTGAACAATGCCAAATTTGGGGAGGTTCATTTCTGGATCTAAACTTCAAATCTGGCCTGTATTGCTATGGATTAAGCCAAAGCCCTTGGACTGAATTCCCGTACACAGGGGGAAATTTCATATCCAAACTCATCTTCAGATTCAGTAGCTTTTAACTGAGTTTCATGTCCAGAATCTAATTTCTTTTAACCTAAAATTCAAAGTGAAAGATGGCGCTGGTTGAAGCAGGTCCTTGTGGAGGAATCCAAAAGATGTCGATTTGTGTGAACAACTGCACAGCTCTTTCTAAGGCAATAGACTTCTGCTTTTAGGATGTAATGGGCTGCTAGGAAGCTGGATATCCAGCATGTTGCTGTTTTTCCTTTCCAGATAATGTTCATCTTGGTGGACACGAATGAAACCAGAAACGGGCGCGTTTTTGAGTATTTTCGCATCACTGAGATAGACGTCCCTGCAGTGCGAATCTTAAACCTGACAAGTGATGCAAAGTACAAAATGCCTGCAGATGAGGTGACCGTGGAGAATCTAAGAAGCTTCTGTCACAGCTATCTAGGTGGGAAAGCAAAGGTATGCCTCTCTGAAGAGACAGAGTCAGCTGTCCATTTGACACCACCTGAAGATTCTAGCACATTTGCAAAAAGAAAGTGAAAATGTCATTTAAGTTCCTAATCTACCACGTGTACTAGCCTGATTCTGATTTTACAAGCTTGTTCTTGTTGCTGTCATGTGCTCCGTTTTCAGTGCATACTGGTCTACTCCCTTATTTTGGATAACTGAGACGGACCACAGGATTCTGCCAAGAACTCTCTGAGAATTTAGGCAAGTCACTTATGGCCTGAATTTTAAAGGTGATGAGAACCTCTAAATTTCATTAACTTCAACTGGCATTTAGGGTGAACTCTGAAAATAAGACCATGAAACCTCTCTGAGTTTCGTTTTCCCCATCTGTATAGTAGGGATACTACTATTTGCCTGCACCATTGGGGTTGCCTCATTTTTGTGACTCCTTATAACCCTTTTCACTAGAATTATTTCCTGCTGGATCACTTTTCTCTATTCTCATTACAATATTTTGTCATCGCAATGAGATATCAGAATGTTCATGCCACATACGTTCCAAGACAGATACATTGTAAACTGTATTGTGTTTTCAATGTTCTGAAGCTTGATTTACCTTCATATTTAACAGCTTCCATTAAGAGGAAGGAAGGAATCATGTGGAGGGGATGGAGAAATCTAGGCAGTGGCATTTATGTTATATAGCCACCTCACTCCTCTTCCACAATAAACAAGCTCTATAGTTCTCTAGCTTTTGATTCTTATTCAGCCAGGTTTTGTAGGACAACTGGATCGTGTAGGTTCAAGTAACCTATTTATAGTTTGACATGACTCACAATATTTTAAAAAGCTAAGTATAGTAAGTAAGGGCATTGGGTGAGTATTGTCCAGTTGGACTCACTTAAACCTGAACCGGAATATGGCTTCCTGATATCACTTTCATATCCCTGTTTCTCTTTCTGATTAGCCCCATGTATCTAGTGAAGAAATTCCAGAGGACTGGGACAAGAATCCTGTTAAGGTGCTTGTTGGAAAGAACTTCAACAGGGTCACCTTTAATAAGACCAAGAATGTGTTTGTAATGTTCTGTGAGTATCATTCTAGATTGTTTTAACATGATCACTTTGATGTGAAAATGCAAATGCATTTGTTCTGTATCAAACGAAGCACTATACATTACATCATTACTATACTTTTGCTGTCTGCTCAAAGCATTATAGGAAGATTTGTGCCATATCATAAGGAAACAGTGTGGTTCATGTACTGACTTAAGATTGCTCTGTATAGGGATCCCTAAAGCCAATACTTTCCAAGGCAGTGTGAAATCTTGATGATGAAAGACAAAGCTATCCTGGCATTTTATTGCACAATGTAACATTCAAATGTGCCATACTATAGGAACTAGACTGTGTCCCACGGACACATCTCAAGGTAAATGGAGGACATCTTACTAGGAGTGCCCCAGAAAAGGAGCCACAATTTCTTTGCTGCTTCCCTTAGCTCCAAGGGGAAGTAGTTTCCTGCTGACCTAAATAGCAGGAGATCACTCTCCCTTCCTGCAACCACCAGAGCATCTCTGCCTATTTCCCACATCTGCCCATCCACCTGCTCCAGGGTGGGAATCGCAGGTGCAGAGTAACTCTGTGCACCCAGACCCACAAGCCAAGTATCCCAGGAGTTCTTACTCCCCATTGTGCCTCTGCCTGGGTGCATAACCCAAGACCAAACCTAGCCCTATAATGCCAATTTTAGGCTTTTGTGAACATGGTTCCAAGTTTGCTGGTGTTCTGATGAACACCACTGGGAAAAGGTGGGCCTTAGGGAAACAAATACAATTAACATGAAGAAAGATGTGCCTGTACTTAGATTATCACCACACTTTTGAAGTACAGTTTGTAAGAAGGATGGTGGAGAAAACTGCATTGCAATCATGCTACTGATGCAGCCTCCTCATTTTCCTTTTAGTTGCCTCCATATGAAACAAGATACGCAAACCACTCCTCTAACAGTCTTGTTCCTGCTGCTGTTCCTCTCTGAACCTTGGTCCTTTTGACCTAATCTGAGCCATAGAACTATTTTTCACAATAATTTTTATTTTTCCAAGGCGACAGGGAGGAGAAAGGCATTAATTGGACTTCTAAGCAATCGAAATAATCTCCCACAGAAAAATGCCAATGGACATACTAATAACTGAATCTTGATAATAATCTTCTTACTCGATTAGGATCCCAAAGCTGGTTGCAAACTATCTGTAGGATCCCCTTCATCCATTGCTGAATTACAGCAGCGCCAGAGAGGAATGTGGAAAATGTTTAAGGGCCCAAGACGGCACCACTGAGGTTTAGGAAAGAAAAGTGATGAATACCTTTCTGAGTTGAAAATGCATGAGAATTTAGGTGGGCAGAATTGCATTAGCAAATTGGAACTTGACCAGGACAACCATACATGCACAAAATGTTCAGGACCCCAGTTTTACATTTCAACTGGGATATGTTTGCTTATTTCATTAAAGAAACCACATGTAAGAAACACAGAAATATACCCACAAATAGCTGTACAACACTCATCCTGAAGTTCCAACACTCTACCAGCAGGGGTGGCCAACCTGTGGCTCCGGAGCCATATGTGGCTCTTCAGAAGTTAATATGCAGCTCCTTGTATAGGCACTGACTCCGGGGCTGGAGTTACAGGCGCCAACTTTCCAATGTGCCGGGGGGTGCTCACTGCTCAACCCCTGGCTCTGCCACAGGCCCTGCCCCCACTCCACCCCTTCCCGCCCCCTCCCTTGAGCCGGCCTTCCCTTGCCCGCCCTCCCCCACCCCTCCGAGCCTCCTGCATGCCATGAAACAGCTGATCGGAAGGTGTGGGGAGGGAGGGGGAGGCTGCCGATGGGTGGGAGGCACTGGGAGCTGGGGGGGTGCTGATGAGGGGCAGCTGATGTATTACTGTGGCTCTTTGGAAATGTACATTGGTAAATTATGGCTCCTTCTCACGCTCAGGTTGGCCACCCCTGCTCTACCAGAGACTAGTACTGTCCTGGAATCATCAGCTTTGATCTGTGACCATTTCATTCATAGTAATTATTGTTACCTGGTTTAGTGTTGTGAACAAAGCATGTATTTGTGCCCTAGTCAGGCACTGAACACAAGACACTGGAATTAAAAAGGCTACAGTATGAGATCTTGATCTTGATTTTGTTTCCTGAAATCACTCCTCCCCCCCACACACACATCCACACACCCAAAAAGAGAAACCCTATTGAAATTGACCTGAATATGGGCACTGATCCATTGACGAAGGACTTCAAACAAGGGGCATTTTTAAGTCGCAATACATCAAGAGTCGTATCAGATTCCTAGGATTCTCTGCTCTGCTATCCTTCCATGCCCTTTGGATTGTCCTCCCTGATATATAAATAACTGTTGTGACTTTTAGTTGATACACAAAATACTTCCTTCCATGCAGCTCTCTCTGATTTATGTGAGTGACATTAGTTTGAAAGCAAGACAAATACATGAAGCATTGCATAATCCATCGCCTGTGATACACTGGCTTTCCGTATCATTTGTGTGTGTACTTGACATTTTGCTGTTTCAAGAGATACTTTGTAACAAAGACTGCATTGTTGAACTGATGAAAGATTTACTTGGGTTGATGGTCTTGGTCAACCGTGGAATCTTCTCTAGTGAAGTCATGTGATGACTTGCTAGGACTTTGTGTGTTTATTTTTATTATGAAGGATTTAATTCTGTACTATTAGGATCAGCAGTTTTGCTATATACAAATGCATTCAAGAGATGTTTGGCAATTGCTAGTGAACTGTTGGTGTAGGGCATGAAATGAGGGAGGGGCAAATGGTTTTCAAATAAAAATAGAGAAAAGCTGAAAATGGAACCTTGAATCCAAACCGCCGTGAATTTCATGGTTTCACAGTCAACACTTGGAGCTAGATCATTTAGATTCTGTTTTGGATCTGAAGCTGAAAGGGCCCTTCAGATTCCATTTCTAATGCAAGCAAAGTCAACCCTTGCTGATGGAAATTTTACACAATTAACTGATCTTGCAAGGTTTCTGCCATTCTAGATGGAGGTGCAGAAGAGTTAAGATAACTTCCCTCCTTTCTATTTCTGTAACATTTTAGCTTGCTTATTCCCTTCTTGGTTGCACCCAAGATCCGAAATGGAAGTGCCAAAATGATGATATTTCTGGACTGACTGATGCAGAAACAGGAAGTTCATGAGAAAGCCATTTCTCCAAAGATTTAATACCGGATTCTGCAGGCTCAGAGATGCATCTGCCGTTCTGAGTGCTTATTCTGATTCCTCTCCCTCCCCAAACCTTAAGGAGAGAGGGGCCCAACCTGAAAATTTGGATCTGGAATTTGAACCTTTCACCCCCAAAATGTGGGATATTCAAATCTGGGGCGATATCCTAGGCACACTAAAGTCAATAATAAAACTCCCATTGATCTCAGTGGGGCCAGGATTTCACTTCTGGAGTTTTGGTTTGATATAGTATAGAGAAAAGGGTCAGTCACACAAAACCGATCCATATTTGGATTATGGCTATAATCCATCTCCCTCCTAAATTCAGGACGGTAAAGCATTGCTATGTAACAAGGATGGAGGTGCTGGGATCTACTTGAGCTGCAAGCCTTCCTGCCACCCAAAAGTGGTACCAGAAGAAAAGGTGTTTGTTAGGCCACAACATCTGGTTTTTACTCAGATTTTGCTCAGTTCTTACTCTGAAAAACTCCTACTGTCTTCATTGTGCTTCTTGGTTTGCCCCATTGTTTCTATAAGTGAGTAATGCCCATTTCAGCTCTGGCACCTATCAATTTTCTGTATTCCTGTGAAAGCAGTGGAGTAAGTTCATAGGCTTGATTTGTGAACATCTATTTTTGTTTTTAAAATTACAGATGCACCTTGGTCCCATGATTGTAGGAAACTCTTACCAATTTGGGATGAGCTGGGCAAGAAATATGAACATCATGAAAATATAGTAATTGCCAAAATAGACTTCACAGCAAATGATATCCAGTTAGTTATGCTAGACCGCTATCCATTCTTTAGATTCTTTCCTGTTGGATCCAATAACCAGGTGAGAAGCATTCAATGTGTGTGTGTGCGCATGTCAGAATGAGGGAGCATGTGAGAAAGGTGCCATGAAAGTGAGAATAAAATGTTGGTCCTCATCTATTCACATATTTCTTATGGAGCAACATGTACCCACTTCTGCCAGGAATCTGAGTTTAAAGGGCAAAATATTTGCCTACAGCCCTCTCTCACAAGTATCGGGTTCTTGTATGAGACCATACTAGACTTTTAACAGACCTGGACGGATGAAGTTTATACAGTCATAGTCACTGGTGACCTGAGTCAATCCCTGTACTGTCCCAGGTTCCAGTGGTCCTGGACTTTCAGGGGTGTTTGCAGAACCCTAACTTCTAAAATACCGACAGCCATGGTCCTGTGCTAGCCTCTGAGAATGGATTCTGCAGGGGCTGCTTAGTGTAACACTCGTTTAAAAAAACAACAACAAAAAACAACACAACTCAGGACTTATTCACCCCAGTGCTTTATTCATGTTACCTGCTTGAATTGTTTCTGTAGCAGTTTGGCTTATGAAAACACGTTTACATTGTCTTAGAGGTCATGTCCTCTGAGCTTTTCAGAAACTCTTTGCCAGACAGCTTTGCCAAGATCACAAACCACAGTAGCAGCAAATTCAAGTGCCTCTTAATAAAAAAAATAAAGAGCTGTTGCTATTGCTGATTATCTCTAGAATATGCTATGTAATGTACCATCATGTTGCATAATGTTCTGAAAGTATTACTGCAAGAAAGGACAGAAGAAATAGAAATATATTAACCACATAGTCATAATCCTCCATCCACATGGATAATTTAATTGAAGAGAAAACGCCAGCTCTGGATCAAAGAAATTCAATTCTATGATATGGTTATAATTAAAACATTACTCAGCTTTTCATTTTTCTCCTCATGGCCCACACGTAAATTAAATTCTAAGACATTTGTACTTGTCCTCATTTAATCTCTTAGGGAGAGATTCTTCCCTTGGACGTGCATGCACAATTTCTAATGAACTGAACGGCAGCCCCGCACATCCCTACTGGGTCTGGCCTTAATGTCTACATTCTACATCCCTCTCACTTAGCAGTTTTCCACTCAATACTTTTAAAAAACATATTAATGACCTTTTGTTTTCTAAAAAAAATTAATGAAAAGTTGGCACACCAGGCTGTCGCTGACTTTTATTACTAATTATCTAAATTGTGGTAGTGTTCTGAGGCCCCAGTCAGGGATCAGAGTTTCATTGTGCTAGGCACTGTACATGCATAATACAAAGAAAGGCCCTGCCCCGAAGAGCTTATAATCTCTCCTACCACATTCCTGCCTTAGACTGGAGTTTGGTGCCCAGATGCTAAACAGATGGAGAGAGAGAGAGAGAGAGCGCGCGCGAGAGAGAGGAGCAGGAAATACACAGCACAATTACAAATATTTGCTCCTTGTAATACTTCTGTGGTGTTTATCCCTCTCTCTTGTTAGGGATGGGAACTAAATGCTAGTGTGACAAAGGTCAATGAAGATTGTGCATTTCCTCTCTGTGTAAGCCTCTCCCATTCTGATCTTTGCATCTTCTTCCAGTCTGACCCTTTTGCATGGGTTAGTCTCGGTCTTCTCATGCACCAAATGATCTCCTACCAATCTCTTCCCAGAACCTATTTCTCCCTCACAGTCTTTCAGACTGTATGGTTCTAACACACCAGGTGAAAATCATGCCAGCACATAGGGGACACTGTATGTCTGAACTGTTGTCGCTGTGTCCCGTCTTGAGCATGACTTCCTTGAGGCAGCAGCCACATCTCTGTATATTTGTACAGCACCAAGATGATTGTCAGCTTTCAACAAATGGGATAGTAATTACAATGCTTCATGGAATGCCCGACTCCCAAGATGGGGATTCTGTTGTTGTTAGAGGGTTGGTGGTTCTGTATCAGTGTCTACTCTACCCAACACCTTTCACTGTTAAAGAATTACAGATAGGAAGAGCTCTATGCTGGATGAAGATAGTGGTAACTTTCTGGATGTCACTTTAACCTCACATTGTGAAAAAAGCTTGGAGAGTAAAACCCTTGAGATAAGATTTCCCCCTTCCCCAGGTAAATACCAAAACCCCTTACATCTGAGCGCTAGATCCTGCTCTCATTAAATCAATGGGAGTTTTTGCCATTGACATCAATAGGAGCAAAATCAGGTCCTTGTTTTCTAGGACTAAGGTAGGGAGGATGTCATGACTTCCGACCACTATAATCTCCCTCAGGCTGTCCTGAAAGGACTGTGATAAAGCCATCAGGAAACTAAACATTACTGCATGCTCTGCCCCAGGCCTATTCAGTTGACTGATGTGCAATCAGACACTTTCTCACAATACAAAGGTGGTTTTATGGAATACCCATTTTTTCTCAGCGGCGTCAGCTGTCCCTCATTCAAACCAGGCCTTTAGAGTTTGGCCATTTAAGACTGGATTCTGCTTTCATTGACAGCACTGGCAAAACTCCCACCGATTTCAGTGGGAGCAGGATTCGGCCCATGAACAAGATTTTCAAAACTAGGAGCCTGGCTAGGGTTCTAAATGAGTAACTAGAAAGCTGGTGGGGGCTCAGCTCTTAAGTCCACATTTGGATACCTGTGTAAACAGCCTGATTTTCAGAAGTGCTCAAGGGTCTGTTTTTTGAAGTCTTGGCCTTAATAAAGATTTGTTTATTCTAACAAGCGAATAGTGACCATTGACATAAAGAGGACACTTTGTTGTCAAAAGCAATCAGCCACCATACTGAATCAGAAAACTCTTAAATCCCCTAGGTAAATGTGGAGTTGAAAAAATATAGTCGGCATTTAACTATCTGATGGGGACAGTTACCATCAGAGCTGAAGGAACATGGAGATATTTCATCTGCTAACACCCTCAGGAGTGGTTGAGTCTGCCATGCACTATTTGAGATCTTTTGATGAAGTAGACTGTCTCCCTGTTTGCTGTGTGCAAATAAAATATAAATTAGCAATTTTTCAGATGGCGTTTAAGGCTGACATTTGTTTTTGTTTCTTGGCACTAAGTGAGACATACACATTTATATCCTCTTAAGAACTGAATGCTCTGAGAAATGTTGAAAATTCTCCCTGGTTGCAAACCCCAAGAACAGCTTAAGAGGGTGGTTTAGCTCACTTTGACAACCTTCTGAGACCCTGCTGCTTTAGCTATCATTGATTACCTCATCAGAGGTCAGACAGGCTCAAGATTTTTTGGAGAACATTTATCTTCTCTGAAGGAGAACAAAACAGTTGTTTTGACAAGAAACTTAAAAAACCATGAGCACTTTTAAGAAAACATCACATAAGACAGCTGTATAGTTTCTTATCATATTCAAACTATTTTAATGCCTGGACAAAATGAATACCTGGTGTAAATCTACTGAATTCACAAGGGAATGGAGGAATTTTGCACACAGTATTTTGAATTCAAACAGGGCAGATCCTCCTTTGGGGTAAATCAGCATAGTCCAGTTTATTTCAGTGCAGACATACCAGTTTACATTGCCTGAGGATGTTTAAATTTGCTCAGATCACAAGTGGACACTTTTGTGTTAAGCAAATACAACCTTGCACTACATTATGGTTAAACACATTTACAATCTTCCTTAAGCTCCCACACAACACGTTTTGAAAAAGCCTCTAAAACGGTGCTGTATTCAGTGATTGTTGGAGAATTCTAAAGCTCTCAGTGTGAAATGATCTTTCTTCCAAACTCCCTAAACAAACATTCAGCAATGCATTCTGCCTCAACACATGAAGTATTCTACACAGCTATTAAGTATAAGCAAATTTACTTTATTTCATCCTCCTCTTGTTCTAGTTTAATCATCCTAGGTGGAGGATTTCAAAGCCATCTAATAGCTTTCGATGTCCAATTCCAATTAAAATCCTTTAGGCAGCTTTGAAAAGCTCACCCATACTCTTTATGGTCTCTATGCTGCAAAAAAAATACATGCATCTACTTAACTATATGCATGAGATGTCAATAGTTAGTTGGCAGGATCCAGGCCTAGTATAATAAGGTAAGGGACTTTGTCTGGTTTGTGTAGGATTCCCTCCTTTCTTCTCACAGGTATTTGTATCTATCTCCTTCCCCATTCCGGATACCCAATTATACTTTATAATTTGTTGAGTCTCCTCCATGGCTTTCTAAACTAAATGCAAGAGTCCAGAGTCTGATACGCCTGCATAACTCAGAAATCCCTGTGTACTGTGGTCTGATTTCAGGCATTTTATGTATAGAATAACTCTTTACCCTTCTATTCTTTTCAGGTTGTGGTATATGATGGGGAATATACCCTGGAGGCTTTTGCTGAATTCTTAGAAAAACAAAGCAAGCCAAAAGTAGAAGCAACCAAAAAGGTAAAGGATTTGACTTTCCACTCTGTCACACCCGGGTTTACAACACATGATCCTTCTTTGATGCTCATGTTACAGGTCTCTGAGCCAAGAAGCTAGTGTAACCACACACTAGCAGGAAGCAATTGTAGCAAGAAGCAATTGCCATCTGGGCAAGAAAGAACTGTACTTTGACTGGGTTTTGATTTTACAAATCAAAGCCTCAGCCAAAGTTGGTTTGGATGAAAATTGGAAAGGTTCACATCTAGCTCCCATTTTATCCACTCCCGTTAAGTTCAGTGGGGCTTCTCTCCTTTCTAAGCACTGTGGCAGAAGTAACTGCAATGTTTTCCTTTCCTTTTTGTGATCTGGATTGGACTATAGCCTGGATCACCAACCACAAGTTTTGGTGCCCTTGATTCAACCTGTCTCCAGAAGGCTGGGCTTCATCTGCTGCAGAGCACACTATGTATGCACGAGATACTCCATATTGACTCAGTTGCATATTTACACATATTTCATTATGAAAGAGTTAATGACAAATAATATAGTTTAACAACCTGAGACTCAAGCTACATGTAGAAAACCCTTAGAAAAGTGATGGCAGAGTCCTCACACCTAACTTCTTCTGAGAAAGGACATGCAAGGACAACTTGGTGCATAATCTGCCTTTCACTGGAATCCAGAGCCTATTCTGCCAAAAGGAGTGAGAAGGCAGGTGCCCTGGATGCACTGAGGATGCCACTGAAATTGCCCTTTAAAGGTGCGGGGAAGCAATGAGATGGTGGATGGAGAAATACTGAGGAATGTGATTCACCCTTCACTCAGGCTCATTCTCAGGGCTTATTGATGAATCGATGACTAAGCAGCTGGTTTTGGGAAGCAGAGGTTCTTCTCCTGCTGTACACATGAAGGGGCTGCGGCTGTGGTGAAGGTTCTCCAGTGACGTGTTTGAAGGAGGGTTAGGAGTCACATTCACTCACTCTTCTCTGTGCTGTACTACATTGCTATGTGCATTCTGCCATTTCTCTCTTGGTGCCTTATTCCACTGTATAAGGCCTGCAGAGTAATTCTACAGCCAGTCTGAAACCCCATCCAAGATGTGCTTTGCACTGCTCGAGGGGGAACGGTTGGCATTAGCCCACCTGCTTATATTTGCTGTCCTTATTGAAGGACATCCAAATTTGTCCAGCATAGTACTGCAGGATACACTACGTTTTTTGCACAGTGCACTTGCTTGATGTGAAAATCCCCTGTTGGAGTAATACTTTTTGTTCCATTACTGGGGAGGTTACAAATAGCAAAAGCAAAGGGCAGCTCTTTTGAGGTTGCATTAGAAAAGACAGAGCATTATCTCTACAGGATTTTTAGATCTGCCCATGCATTACATAGTGAGAGTGACTGGTTTTTCAAGAGTTTATCAGAATTTCACACAAAGGGCATCTCATCTAAGCGTTGCCCAGGGGCTGATGTGTGGGTGCGAGCAGGGCCGGCTCCAGGCACCAGCCCACCAAGCTTGTGCTTGGGGCGGCACCTGGAGGGGGGGCGGTGCGGTGCTCCGGCCGCCGGGGAGAGCGGGGCCACGGCCGGGCTCGCCGCCCGACCCCCGGCGCTCTGGCCGCCCTCCCCCAGCCGCCCTTCCCCCTCCCCTCCCCGGCCGCCGGGGGGAGAGCGGCAAGCCCGCCCTCTCGCCGCCCTGCCCCCTGCACTCTGGCCGCCGGGGGGAGAGCGGAGCCCCCGCCGGGGCTCGCTGCCCTCCCCTCGGGGCTCCGGCCGCCCTCCCCCCTGGGGCGGCAAAAAAGCCAGAGCCGGCCCTGGGTGCGAGATCTCATTTTTTGGTCACAGCAGCAGTAGCTCTGATCTCATTAAGATGTAAAAGAGAAAAATCATCTAAAGTTCTTATAATATTTTTAAAACACATTTTTCAGAGAACAAATACTCACTAAAGCGATTCTCTTATCTTGAGAAGCTATAACGTGGAACATCATTGGTGTATTTTATTTTTTAAAGCCTCCTTCTGGAGAAAGCAAAGAGGATCTCACTGAGGAAGAGACGGTCATAAAACAGAAAGAAGAACTTTAGCTCCATTGAAGGGGAAAGATTCCATAGGAGGATATCCTGAAGATGAAGATGCTATGAGAACTTTGATCGCATCATGAGAATATAAGGATGCATCAAAAAAACAAAAGAAAATAAAGAGAGAATATGACGTCACTGTCTGGCTGTGCATCATTACTCTTTGGAATGTGACTTTACTGGTGTTTTCCCCCAACCTGGAATCAATGTCTCAGTTCTTAAAGTAATCTTTCATTTTGCCTCAAATTTTTTTTATTGTCAGGGCGCGCCCTCCACTCCTGTCTGTTTCTGTGCACACAGCCAACTCGGAGACACTCTGATTGTGAGCACCACCTGTAGTTTATTTACGTTTCCCCTGTCACCTTTACGGTGTTGCACAGCACCTTATCTACAACAGCACATAACCCTCAGCCCCTTAGATCAAGGGTAGGAGAGGTGGGAGATCTCTCTTGGGACTAACTGAGAGTTTGCCTCTCTTAATCTCTCTTCCCCTGGCACTGCTTTCCTGTGCCTTTTCTACTTTCTGGGCAAATGAGTTAATTAGTAAATAGTGTCACAAGGGAAAGGGTTAAGGCCCTGCAGAAAACAGGACAAAGATCATTCAGCATACTATCCTTTTTGAATGAAACCTGCAGGAGGCACATTCAATCAGTTGTTCCCTGCTGCACCAATGCAACCCTCATGTCTTCAAGAGAAGGGGGAATTCATGCCATGGGAATGGAGCCAAAATTAGAACAAATACCTGGATTATTTTAAAAATAAGCATGTGCAGCTAAGCACAAGTCTATGGGGGTTAGGCACTTCTGAAAATTCCATTAGGTAGCTATGTACACTCGTAGGCACCTAGAGACCTTTAAAAAATTGACCCTGTGCCCTGAATCAGAACAATTTTTTGTAGGATTTTGGCGTTTTTGCTTCCTGTCCTTGCTGGAAATGTAGAGGAGCACAGCAATTAAAAATAAATTAATCAGGGTTCAAAAATATGAAATGCACTTTATTGTACATCTACAAAGGTTCAGGGATGATTCCAGTTTTGGTCAAGGAGTTAGTTATTTCTTATTTTATCCAAACACAATCACCTGTTCCTAACTCTAGGGCTGAATCTGATTACTATGTTCTACTGAAATACAAAAATTTGCATAAAGAGTTAGCCAAAGTTCACACACAGACAGTACAACACAGAGGTGGTTTAAAGCAACAACTATGATTTTAAAGGATAATTATTTGCTCACTTGTACGCTAAAAAAACCCACTATTAACTCCTGTGAAATGTGTTCTTTTAAAATGTGGTTCAACACAACTTTCAACCTGACATTCTGTACCACTATTTACCTATTGAATGGGAAAGGAATTTGACATTCAGGAAAAAAAAGTTTCCTTTCTTCATGAAAAGTGAGCGCTGTACTTGATTTCTCAGCTCTCCAAATAAAGCTAGTGGACCTTATTGCTGGAAACTCTGGTGTAAAGGTCTTAAAGCATATGGATGATGGATTGGAGAACCCAGATCCAGCCTGCTCCTTTGAAGCCCAGAACTAAAATCAATCTAACCATTGGTATTTAGTGCTAAGCACTGTCTAACGCTCCTAATATGTTTTAAGATATTGGCAGGATATTGGCCTCTTTTTTCCATCTCAGTGCCTATGTTTTCTGTCCCACCCATTGACTGTCTTGTCTATTTAGATTGTAAGTTCTTTGGGACAGGGCCAATCTCTAGATGCATGTAAAGTGCCTAGCACAAAGGGGCTCTCATCTAGGTTGGAGATTCTAAACACTCAATAATAATAACATATTTTTTATTACAAACAGAGAACCTATCATTTGAGGTTCTGAGAGAATAGATTAGAAAAGAAGAATGAGGAGATAAGATTATTTGATTGCCTCAGCAAGAGGGGAAAAAAACCCAGGCAGGCAATTCGTAATACTTGCAACAAGATGAAATTTGAATGGCAGTACGTGCTGGTACTGTACCATATAAATCTACCAAATCCAGAAGCTATAATGGTTTCATTCTTTTCCCCATAGAAAAATGAGACACATGCCACCTATAGCAATACTCTTTATTGGAAGATGGGATTATCATTCAAGATAAAATAAAAATTAATTTTCACTGCTCCTTCCCACTGGATATGAAAATCAGTCTTGAAACAGTTATCGAGCCCATTATAAAGGTACAGGATTAATGAAAAATCATTCATCTCGATAAATGACATGTTAGTGCCTATTAGAGCTAATATCTTGGGTGCCAAGGCAAGGGTCCAAATCCAGGCTTCCATTCTGTACCCTCTGCACTGCTCTGGTGACACAAAGGGGATGGAAAGCTTCTTTAAAGAGCCAGCTGAGGATTCCTTGCCTGGGGAAACCTCCGCTAGTGAAAAGCCACCCTAAATAATGCTGCATCATCTGCTCCTGCCCTTCCCTTCTCCTGGTGGAAGGGTGCTGCAATGGTGGGAGTGGGCGTGGCCAGAATGCACTACCCTTCAGGAATTCAGGACCAGCAAAATAGCCCAGGAGGCCACTCCAGCTGAGCCCTGTAGCTGCTCTAACTTGTGCCAGGGGCCAAACTCGCTGCTGGTAATAAGGTGACCGGATAGAAAGTGTGAAAAATCGGGACGGGGATGGGGGGTAACAGGCGCCCATATAAGAAAAAAGTCCCAAATATCGGGACTGTCCCTATAAAATCGGGCCATCCAGTCACCCTAGCTGGTAGCCTCTTGATTGGCAACTCTAAGTTCTATGGCAATACAAAACAAGAAAGCATTGAGTTTGCATAGTGAAACTTCAAGCTTTACTTAGTGCTAAAAGAAAGATTACACATTATGAATGTGAGTAATAAAATGCACATCTGTAAATTGTAGGTTTCCTTAGATAGAGGATGTACTTTCTTGCCCCAGAAGTTGACATATCAATATAATCTAAATAGAATTGTTACTTTAGTTCACTAAATGTCTGTGTTGGCGGTATCAGGATGCTCACAGTTAAAATGGTTGTCTACAGTGATCAAAATTACACTTCACCTTAAAAAGATCAGCAGCAGTATTAGCAATAGAGGCCATGTTGTGGATTGGTATAACATTTGATGGTGGGGATATATCCCAGTTTGTCTTGCTGATGAAGAGCTGTTATGCCTATCACAAATGCTACCGATCCTAAAAAAATATTTGATAATTAAAGATGGGAATGGATTAGAGAATTATTTGCAAAGAATCTTACCTTTCATCTGCAGCACATAATCATGTTACCAAGGGTAAGGAGGGGAGTTAGATTCCTATCCAGGTCAGGGCAAAGTTCTATGTTAGGCATTTCTAGTGTGCTCATCGCTATTGCGTCTGTGTCAAATACACCCTTAAAACACAAATGATGTTGCATTGCGGTTGCAGAGACAGCTACCTCACCTTTGCTCTCTCATACTATAAGAATCTCAATTCTTTCTCTGCATGGGCTCCAAGGTGGCTTTAAGAGATTAGTGGCAAAAAAAATTAAAGTGCCTAAGTGACTCAGTAGCATAAGGCCCATTTTCAAAAGTGAATTAGGTGCCTATGTCTGATTGAAAGTCAGTCAGTCTCTTCTACGACTCTTGCCCTTCCTCATCTCCAAGCACCTGAGTGCCCTGGTCAGTTGATGGCCACCAGATTCTGCTTGGTTGCTTTCCCAAAGTGAAGCACTGTAGGCTTTATATTGGTCCCTTCCCATCTCTGGCTTGGCATGGGGAGAAAGGAGTCAGTGACCAACAGCAGGATCACATCAGTAGAACAGGACAGGGAAAGAGTCGGGATGGAACAGGGCATGCTGCACCCTATGAATCCCTACCTAGATCCATTTCCCAACCGCCAGACAGCCGCTTTCTCTCTGCATAACACCCTCCAGTAGTAGCATGTTACACTTAAGAAATTAGCTAGCTCCCAGATGCCCTGCCCTTGGGAGCTGGCTACTTCCCTAAGGGTTGAAACCAGTACTGAAATGTTTTAACTTAACACAGTTTAAAGTTGCTTAACTATGTTAAAGTAACCCATTTTCCAAACTATGCCAACATCTGGTGAATTTAGCAAACAAGTCTCATTACATGCTATGTATACGGTAGTGTCCCAACAGCCATAATCAAAATTCAGCCCTTAATAGTTTGACATCTGAATTGTCATTGGAGAACAGTATATCAATCAATCAATGTGGCTTTTACAGCTGTCTAAGCACACAAGAGTCTACTGTAACCCCAATAGAAAATGGCGTCTCAGCTCAAGGACAATTTTCCCTTCAAATGGTCTGTTGGAAGTCACAATCTTGTTTACCTACACTGCAAAATTAGTCTCTGATGCTAGCGCTGAAGCATGCAAGCCATTAAGTGTATTTATGAGAATTAGAAATTGTAGCTCACTGATGCAGGGACATTTTTACATTGTTATAATAAATATTGCATTGTAATCTTGCTAAAGGAGCAGATTTGCTCTCAATAGTCTTGCTTTGGAATTGGAAGTCATCAACCACTGATGTAGACAACCCCAGCCTATATGAATAAAGTCTAACTCCTGCTTGCCTTACCCACTTGACTACACATGCCAATAAGATGAGAGGATTTGGCCTGTAAGTTGTAAGTATGCAGTTTAGGAACTTTGATAAAAGAGAATGGATCCTTCTTTCTGTTACAACTGTGCAACTCAGTGAAGTCAATGGGGTTGTGCAGTGTAATATGGAGTGAAATTTGGCCCAAAGCGCAAATTGTTTTAAAAGCTAATAAAGTATGAAGAACACGATTGATTATAACAGTTTGCTGATATGAAGGGGAGAAGTTCATAATTTTAAATTCTGTTTTATGGCAATGCAATAAATTCTAAATGACTCTATCCACTGAACTTGTGGCCATGTTATTAGTGTCAGAATTATGCACCAGCAATTAGTAGTTTTCATACATATTTTTTTACTGACTTAAAGGTGTCCAGATGGATTTAGATTGCTCATGTATCATACCTACATCTAATATTGTCTTTTCCAATGGCCTCATAGAAGACATTTCT